GCCTGTCAATCGCCTCCACAGCAAATTCAAAAGTGTTAAATGTTTTGGTGTTAGTAGTCTTCTTGCAAAAGTAGAGTTAATTTTACTCTAAGTCAGAGTCACATTCTTTTAATGTAACTCTGAGGTGTAAAATGATAGTAGTTAAAATCGAGTGTTAAAAATGAGTGTTTCTCTGTCAAATCTGGAGGTGTTACAATGGAAACATTAACTCTTGACCTCTTAACTCTGAACTCCTAAGGGGCTATGACACCAATAGAGTAAATTCACAGACTCCGCCCCCAGCACGGCTCCAATCGAAGCTGAAGTGAAGCCGTTTCAGAACATTTTGCTCTACATATTTGAGTTGTTTGCCATGCTTGGTAAGTCATTTTTTCAAAGATTGTTTCAATATTATTATTAGCTTTTACTTCTGTGGCTCTTTGGAGTTGAGACAAAGCTGTGTGAAAGGCATTAGCCATGTTGCTCGCTGATAGCATAATATTCTGTTTTAGCTAGCTGAAAGGTATTGTTTGCGGGCAAATACCACAGCCTTGAAAAAAAGCTTGCATGTGAATTTTCAGTCAAACTTTTGGTCAAATACACCTAAAACAATGTCTAGAATGTGAAATGTTGGTATAATGGTGCTACTTGAAGCCTGAAAACGATCGCCCATAAAAAAAAAAAAAACGAGCAAACAGCAGTAGCAGACGTCCTGACTGGAGTTCTACGTTAGCATAGATCCCTCCAGAGTTTTGTGCACACGGTTTAGGTAAAAATGAAAAAGGTTGAGGTTTTACATTTAGTTCAGTATTACCTGTTGCCTGTGTCCTTGTCTTTTGGGAAAATACTTTACACAAGTAATGGCTCAAAAGATTCCTTTTTTTTACTGTGCTGCAATTGTTTACTGGATTATTTGTGCCATTAATTAGTGTCAACTAATTTTTATTCAATCTCCACACAGGATATGCTTGTGAAGATGGAATATGGGGGAGAGCAGAAGTGCGTTGAAGTTCCACAAAGGGATGAATGAAGGACATGCATATTGTATTGAAGAAATAAGTGATGAGAATGCTGTTATTTGCATTACCACTACCATGTCAGACCTTTTGATAAACAAAATTCTAATGAAAGTGAGAACATGTACTACTGTTACATCTTTCAGAAAATGTTTTGAAATTGTGGTGCACAGTTCAGAATAAATGTTTTTCAAAAACCATTGCGTCTTTTTAGTAAATGTTTATTTCCAAAAGAAATTTCTAGAAGTTCAGAACAGTAAAATTCCCGCTTTTTAGAATTAATTAGAAGATAACTCTTACGTAGTTAAACTAAAATACTCTTTGAGAGTTAATATATAAACTCTTAACACCAAGTGTTAAATTATCAACTCTCTGTGGGACTAATAAAGGTTATCTTATCTTATCTTATCTTATCTTATCTTATCTTATCTTATCTTATCTTATCATAAAGATGGCAACAGTGATGGCAACTGCTCATCTCGAAACTTAAAACCAGGACTACAAACCAGCGCCAGGTGACGTCACATTAGCGCCATCCATCTTCAATACTGTCTATGCTCTGATTAGGAAAATTAACATGACATTTAATGTTACATATTTACTGATTTGAGTGTTTACCATTAGCATATGGTATGGTTGGGACTGTTGCTATATTTTGGTTGTCTGTATTGCTGAGATTTAAATTTCACTGAGCCAAACTTGTTGAACCAACAACAGTAAGAAAATGCTGTCGAGCAGTCAAGGCTGATCGAGTGAGACAATCTGTATCCTCGCTTGTTCTGAAAACAGGGGATGATGCTAAGGAAAGAAAGATGAGGGGAGATGAAGGGATGGACACAGTAAAGGCTCGCACAACTGTTAGTGGTCACAGCCCAGTGCACACATCCGTCTGGTTTCCTTTAGGCTTGACCTGTGTATGAGCGCTGTCTATCTCTTAAAATATGAACATCACTTGACAAACACACAAACAATGCGTTCAGTCACGAGTGCACACAAATCTACCTGTCCTGCAAATGCAGACAGGTGTGCAGACACAGTCAACAAGATTTTAACACAGCTCTTTCACGCACACATGCAAGGCTGCCACCTGGGAAGCAGATTTGACAGACACATCCGGTAAGTTAGTTTTGGCGCAGGTGCTTCCTGCTGCTAAAGCAGTAAAAATCCTTGCATGTTCCCTCAAAATCTCCCCTCTCTTTTTCCAACCATTCAAACAAGTTTGTGTTCATACTGGCAGAGTTTTAGCTACATCAATGCACAATCTAATCGATTGAATCAATTGCGTGATCGATAGAAATACAAGAGCTTAAATATTATGTTTAGTATATTAAACAAAAATGTTGGACTGCTTTCTTGCAGGCCCAATATCTCTAAATTTAGTAACACATCTCAGAGTGATGCTGAAAAACTAGTTAATGCATTTTTTACTTCTAGGCTTGACAAATGTAATTCATTATTTTCAGGTTGTCCTAAAACCTCCCTGAAAAGCCTGTAGTAGTCCAAAATGGTGCAACGAGTGTGCTGACAGGGGCTAGAAAGACAGAGCATATTTCTCCCATAGTGGCTTCTCTTCATTGGCTTCCTGTTAAATCCAGAATTGAATCCAATAATTCTTCTGCTAACATACAAGGCCCCATCTTATCATAGTACCATATCACCCTAGTCGAGCACACTGCTCTCACCCTATCGAACACGATAATATTTAAATTACAATATACAATATTTAAAAGTAGAATGGGAGGCAGAGCCTTCAGCTTCCAGGCCTCTCTTCTGTGAAACCAGCTCCCAGTTTGGATTCAGGAGACAGACACTATCTCTACTTTTGAGATCAGGCTTAAAACTTTCCTTTCCATAAAGCATATAGTTAGGGTTGGATCAGGTGACCCTGAAGTCTCCCGTAATGCACTGAGCATTTCTTCTTCACTCACGTTTTTTCACTCTCTATGTGCTAACACACCACTATGTGATAATTAGTTATTATTAATCTCTGGCTCTCTTTCACAGCGTGTCTTTTGTCTTTTATATTTCCCATCTTCCAAAACCGGTCCCGGCAGTTGGCTCTCCTCTCCTCCCTGAGCCTGATCAGGTCATCTGATTGTTGGGGTTTGCTCTTTATTATTGTAGTGTCTTTATCTTACAGTATAAAGTGCTTTGAGATGACTGTTGTTATTTGGCGCTATATGAGAAAATAGTACATTTTTGAAATTCATATGCAGATATCTAAATTACAAAACATTGTTTTTTTTATCTTTAACTACTAAAAGTAATCTAACGATATGCTTAGAACATATAAGTAGCTTTGGCCTGGTTTCCGTAAAAGGGTCACGAAAAGGTCTAATATCTAACATTATGGTAAATGTGAAGAATAAATATCTTCATATACAGAAGAGTGATTCTCGCCCTGTAGCACTGCACATTATTGCTGATGCGTTACCAGTTGCAGTGCAAGACAGATTGGCCTAGCAAGACAATGTCTCACCACATGATCAATATCTATCTCTGTCTCCCTGTAAAATGAAAGAAAAAAAAGACAATCTTCTGCTAATGTATCTCCTTTATTACTCGTATTTATCACCAAGTGAGATGAGAAAGAAAAGGAGGGCGGGTGGCAACAGCCTGGTGTGTTGAATATGAACATAGTGAGTCACACATAACAGCCTGTCAGCTACAAACAGGGCAACCGAGCTATCTCCCACCATATGTGGAAGTGTGTTTCTCTATGAATATGATAAAACAGACCAGATTTTCAACCTCAGTCATGTATCTGCATTGTGATTCCTGCTTTAGGAGTTCTGCGTTCCCCTGCAGCCTTTCTCGACTGCTGCTTTAATTTTTGATGAATCTCGTAATAGCTGGAGCAGAATATATTGAGGAAGTGGCCTTTGTGTGCAGGGCGACAGGCATGTTGGAAGGAGGGCGCCACACCATATGTTCCAAAGTGGAGATCAAATTGGCTTTGTCTTAAACGGAGAGAAATGTGCGAGAGTCCTGGAGGGAAGAAGAAGCGAAAAGAGTGGGGGGAGAACAACCCTCCCCCCTCATTTCCTCATCACCTCCAACAAAGCAAGGTATTAAAGAAACACCTGTGGTTTGAGTGATGAGAAATTCAGAGCTTTCCCTCTTCTTCCTCTCACCATAGACTCCCTCATCGCCCTCCCTCCAATCCCACTGCTGCTGCATCCCTTGCTGGCCTGGGGCATAATCTCTTCCCCAGACAAAAAAAAGAAAAAAATGAAAAGAAGAGATGCTGACATGTAATAAAGCAGGACTGATTCTGTTTGGGGCTGAGGCTGGCCGTGGTTGCTGTTGGAGCCTGGCTTGTTTCCTGCTTTTGGGTTGCAGAATGCTAAGAGAGCTGCTGGATATTTCAACTGTAGAAAGATGAGATTACTTGCTAACAGATGCCTGCTAATGAAGTGTCGACAGGCTGGGTGAAGGGGCCACGCAAAGCTACTGTAGGAGACATGATTGAAGGGGGACAGACAAATTTGATGGAGAGAGGACTGATGGAAGCAAAGGGTGTTTGTGTGTGTGTGTGTGCGTATATGTGCATGTGAGTTTTTGCAAGCTTCTGTTCTCCAAACCTCAGAACTTGCGCTGCACTCCATCACCAGGGGAACAGATAGCTTTTAGCAAGATACCCTGAGGTGGAAAAGACTGCTCAGCCTTCCTCTTTTTTCCTGCTCTCTCCTCTTTGATCTTTCTCCTTCGAAGCATTTTGTTTTTCTCTGGTAACCCAATGACACTTCCTTTTTTTTGCAAGGCAAGTATGAATTGAAATAAATTTCTCTCTCTGCTTATGCTGCTGCTGTGGACATAAACCTTTTCTATCCCGAGCAGTCAGTGCTGTCATTGAAACATATTACCTCTGTTTCCTACCCTGCACACACAGGAAGTGCTGAATTTTCAAGGCTGGAAATGAATAGCAGGGATCATTTCACGTTGGCAGTTTTTTTTTTTTTTTTACTTATCAGCCTTGTTTACCATTTCTATTGTTTCCCACAGTGAGCAGATCTGAGCTGGATGGCAAACATCAGAGACAAACCTGGTGGGTGATGAAACACAAGGACACACACAATGCGGCGTTGAGGAGGCAGGGTTGTGTGGTCTAGCGAGCTGTCTGAAAGAAAAGGTGAGGGATTTTTCTTCTTAATGAGAAAGGATGGATCCACTGAAGTGGGGTGGCTGGTGGGAGATGCAGGAGTGGGATTTGAAAAGGCGAGAAGGCACAGTGTTAGTACCCTGGACTGGCACATTTGCCAAAGAGCAGCTGCTTTTGAACTCTCCACCTGCCTGCCTAGATTGCTCACACTCTAGTCTTACATACAAACAGGAGGCTCATCACCCACCAGAAGGTCAGCTCCCACACTGTCTCCCTCTGCTCCCTTTGTTCTTGGGAAATGAGGACCTAAGATCTTCTGCCTCCTCCTTTGTTAGTGAACAAATGTACCAAGAAACAGCCATTTTTGTGAGCAGGCACTGCCTCCTACTGCTCCAGATTACAGCTCATTAGCAGTAGCGGCAGAGAGACAGCCCACACCATGGCTCCCCTCTGATTCCCTCATTGTTTCCTATGATTCTGAAGCAGCATGCCACAGTGACAAAAATGCTGGAAGTTGTGAGGCTTATGAGGTTGGATAGCAGACAAAGACAGCAGCGAGGCACTTCACAGTTTGTCAGCTGATGTGATGAAATGGCACAGGGCAGGAAATATAACGGCAGGGGGAGATGTTTCATGAATGACAAACTGACCTTCAGGTAGATGTCAAGGCCAGGAAAATGCTGAGGGTTACGAGGAGGTGTCGGGGGTGATGTAAATGGTCCAAAAGTTGAATAGGCTACAGCCTGTTGGCTCCTTTGGCAGTTCAGCTCTTGTGCATCTGCTTTAGTCTGTCTTTGTCTTTTGTTTGCAAGAATAAAACACGTTAAGAGCGCTTCTCTCAAACTGTCAGCTGTGCCAGGCAGTGCGTGGTAATTGCCATTGAAGGGCTTTGTGTTTCTGCACATTCACATTCATTATCTGTTTTCTCCTTCCTTCCTGTTTCACAGAAACTGGTGGAACTTGAGCACATCCCTCGAATGTTCCAGTCTCCTCGCTATCCTTGGAAAAGTTTTTGGCGAAGTTGTAAAAGGAAGCAGATGCCAGATGTGCACGCCATATGCTGGGGGTCTTAAATTAAGCCCTTTTCACTGGTTTGGTTTTTATTGTTTTTTGATGTGTAAAGTCTTGTAAATGTTCCTTTCTATTAGGTCACAGCAATCAACTCGAAATGAACTTGACTGTAGTTGGATGAGACAATACTGCATGAAATGAGTAGTAATGTAGTTCAGTGTTAATTCAATACAACTATTCATGTTAAACTCAAACTCATCAGTGAAAGATTTCTAGCACTGGTTTGCTTAATTCTGCCAAAAAAAAAGTAAAGCAATAAATCAGAGGCTGGAACTTTATAGATTAAAAACAAGATTATGGTGAGCGAGAATCGACTGCTCAGATTGGGTTCGATTTATATCTACTGCTTGTCGTCAGAGGAGTAGGCCTGAATCTACGCACGCGTGGATGTTTTACATCCCCTTCTGTCCACTGTGGCTCCTTCACTCGGGATAAGGCAGGGCGATAACAGTCTTGTAGGCAGTGGGGAATAATGAAAAAACAAACAAAACAAAAACCGGCTCAAAACGTCTGGCAACGCTGCCTGAAGCTCCTCTCCTTCTGCGCTCCGTATCCCAAAATGACTTCTGACCCTGCAGTCAGAGTGACTTCTGACCCTGCAGTCAGAGGTCATTTGGGGTCATCTTGGAGAAGGAACCTCTGACAGGCCCTCTACCAAAATCTGGAATGTAAAGCATGTAATGCATCATTGCTAAGATCCTGAGATTCAGTGTTATCAGGCGTAAAACCGACCTAAGCATTTAAATGCAATATAAGGATTGTCTTGTCAGTACATTTGACTTAAATGTGTTGCAGACTACTTAAAGCATATTGTTGTACTTTGATTATCTATGAATGTATATAAGAGTACAGAAAGAGATGGATAATAAACATTTTAATTCTACTGGTGAAAAGTACAAATAAATCTTCAGGATGTGTGATTTCAATTTCTGTGTCCACAGAGAGCCCGGGATATGAAATATGCTGCCTGTGTCTCTGCCCTGTGGGTCACATTCATCTGTTAAAGGATGAATTATTTTTTTTCTCCTTCATCTCTTTTGTTTGGGTCTGCACTCGGGATAGGCTGACCACTATTACAGCACACAGCCACAGCTCAGTTGACCCTGAAAGAGCGAGCTTCACCTCACTATGGCTTTGCGGTCAACCCATTTTCGACCCGAGTGTTACAGCCTGCCTAATGCTGCGCTCATGAACCAAAACAATTCCACTTAATTCGTTTCTTTCATAGTTGAAAAAACTTGTACGGCTTCATGTCGCTGCAAGGTCGGATAATAAAAATCAGAACAGAAGACCTTCAACAAGATCGAGGCAGCTTCAATCAAGAAGCTTTCGATGGCAGCCATTCACTCTATAACTTTTGTATTTTCTTGACTGGTAATCCTGTTGGAAAACGTGCCGGCCATATAGCTGCTCAGAGCTCTGGTTCCACACCTACCCCATTCCCATCCATGACGTCCTGCAGCCTGCTCTATGTGCCACCGTGCCGTTGAGACTCACTCGGTCACAATCTCGACAGCTCCCATCTAAACAATGCTGTCGTCATTTGTCAAACCCCCCACCCCCCACCCCCTATCCTTCTCTTCTCCCTGCATGAGCGGGAGGAGCAGAGTGGGGCTGATGCTGAGGTGTGATAGGTCCCTGTCATGGCCTGTGCATTTGGGCGCACGCGCGTAGGCACGCGCACAGCTTGTGCGGTTGATGGAGATGGATGCCTTGTGCATTTGAGCATTCAGAGAGAGTGAGTGTGTGTGACAGACAGTCAATCAGCCTGTGATGAGAGGTAATCGCACAGTGGACAGATCAATTAGTTATTTTCTCAGGAGGCAAACAGAAGAAAAACACCACTGTTCTCCAGGTAAGTGATTTGCATTTCACTCCTCTTTCATCTCTCTCATCCTTCTTGTATATTTATCTTTCTGTTTTCTCCCGTCTCCCCCATTCCTCCCTTCTGTGTGCCTCCTTCAGTCCCTCTCCACTCTGAATTTGGCTGTTTGGATGTTTATCTCTGCTCATTTCTCCTCCTGCCCCTCTCATAGGGAGGGAGGTGGAGATCCAGCTGATCAAGGCTGAGTAATGGTGTATGAGCTCAGCCCTGTGAGCGATGAGAGCTCCACTTGGCTGGATCATTTATACCGGGCCTTGCAGAGAGCAAACATGTATCTCAAAGCCATCAGAGACACTCCAAGGCTGGACTAAGTGTGATTACAGACAACTAAACTGCAAGAACACTTTCAGACATGCTGCATGCTACAAGTGCAAGCTTTGACTACCTGAAGTGCAAAACTCAACTTTTCTCCTGCTTCACTTTTTTGATGAGAGCGAGCTTGAAACATGTGACGTTACATGGATGAAAACTCATGCACTTAAAAAGCTCAGTTTTCTTATGTTCTCTTGTTTTTTGGCTGCTCATTCAGCCAGTGTCAGCTCACATCAGCAGCTTGAATTGTTGGATTTAGAATTGCTGCATGTAGGTCATGTCTTGTTTTGTTTTTTGTTTTTTTTGTGTGTTTACTAGCTGTAGCAGCGGACATTCCCTGAGGTTGCAGAAATGTGGTACAGTCTCAGATCTTGCTGGAGATCGCTCCGTCCTTCACACCCACTTAGAGTCAGATTCAGTCAGTCCTTGTCAGAGTAATTTTACGCAGCATTTTTTATTTACAGGGGTACCGCTCTGCTGAGTATCACAAAAAAACAAAGTTAAAAACATAAACTTTTTTGTTTAGAAAGTGATGGAACCACTGCTGCCCTTCTCTTTGTGTCCATGCTCACATTAAAACCTTGTTGTATGCACATATTCATACATACATACATACATACAGCCAATAGCTTTTCACGAGTACAAAGAAAACTGTTCTGTCTCATTTCACAGTTAACTACCACACATCAGTCTATGTCCTCTTGCGTCAGCTGGCGTCGCTCAGACATCTTCAGTCCTTCGGGGCTGGTCCAGCATGCTCCATTCCTGTTTCCAGTCCTTCTTCTTCTTCTGTGTGCTGACAGGACCACCTGGTGCTGCTGCTGGTTGCCAGATTTTGGATTATCCTGCATAACAATGGGCTAAAGGACTGTTTGGATCAGTTCCACTCTCGAGCTGCCAGGGACCGCTCTGCCTCTTGCTCTTCAGTGACAGTGGCTGTCCTCCCTACCGTGCACACATGGATGCATGGCCACCGTGGGATGATACCCCCCACCCCCTACCCCACTGCCATCATCCACCCAACCACACACGCACATACACATAAACACACACACACATTCAAAAGGTTAATTAATGTGTCCATGTGTTTATGGCCATCCAGCAGTCTACAAGGGAGTCTGTGAGAGATTTGTGTACACATAAAAAATATGCACTAACGTTGCTAAGCTCACACATGACACCATTTGCACACTTGACAAGAGTGCTGAGAGACACAGGTGATTTCATGCGATAGAAATAATAAAATGAAAAAAAAAAGCTGGCAATAAAACCTGTCCTAAAATAATAAAAGCCTAATTTCACTACTGTGTTGTCTAAATAAGTGAATGCAAATATGCCTGTGACTGTTTCTGTGCAAATATGGGTGCTGTTTTTGTATAAAAAATTAAACAAACTGGATTTGATGGTTGTCTTTTCTCACACAGTGCTGTATACTGTACACTATATAAACGCTCTGACATCTCCTCAGCCTGAAGTGACACTGGCATATATGGTTTTAGGCATCCAAGCGGACTGTTACTGTATGATAGTCTAAAACAATATTTCTGAGATGGAACAGGCTCTAAGATCACACTGCAACTGTCAGAGTCATGACCCAACTGGAATAGACTGAAGCCCATGAAATAGAACCAGCCTCTCACCGCCTGAACTGCGAACTAAATCTGTCACTCAAACTGCGAATGAAGACTCGAGAAAGTTAAGAGGAAAGAAGAGGAAAGAGATAACTGAACAAAGGTGAGAGGTTCCAGGAAACAGGATAAAGAACAAGAAAGAAACACATTTTTAAGCAGTGACAGCAGCTATGTCTTCAGCAATTCTAACTAGATAGTAAAAGCGAGGTGTTGAATGTAATTGGGACTTGATTACATTTTATTAACATAATGAGGAAACGTTTGTGACATTTTGCAAAGATCTTCATTATTCTTATATCAAAATACAATTACAATAATAAGCTGACAATCACATCTTAGCCAAAGTTTTTGCCTAAAACTGCAGCCAGATTCTAAATGTAAACTCTTGTTGCTATACCTTATGTTTTATGTGTTGTGGAAGTTTTCCATTTAAATAAAGCCTGCAGACGAGCGGTGAGCGGTAGCTAACATTCTTTAATCAAAACACACAAAGAACAGACAACCAAGCTTGGTGGAGAGCCTACATGACCGCGAGGAAGATGATCAGCAGAGTCTCACTGAGCCTAACATCGGTTAAATACCTTCTTCAGGAACAAAAGGCAGTACACAGCTGTTTCACACCTTAAGGTTCACACTCCCTTGCTACCTCCCAGAGTCCTCGAAGAGACAAAAGATTCTTCCTGTGGAGTTGTCTGCTTCCCCCCAACTTCCTTACTAGACCCCACCATCTGTCTAACTGTATGAGTGTGAGACATGTTAAAATCTAGTGGCGGCAAGGCATTATACAATAAAATAATGTGATTAATACATAAATAAAAGAAATTCCTATACATATGTTAAGCACTTTAAACCCC